AGAGCAAGTGCACTTACTGGAGAGAGACAGTGAGAGAGAGAAAGTGAGAGATCACCCCCAGTCGAGAGAACGGCCATGCTGCACTCCCCTCTCCTCCATTCTCCTCTTGGGATCTTGAGTACTCATGCACATGCTTCCAGTGTGTTTTTCAAGCTCCTGAGTCTGGGACTCAAACCACAAACAGTCATGTGGGAGTCCAGTGTCTTAACCACTACACCAATGGCTAGCTCCTATTTCTACTTTTGAAATTTAAATTTTCAGAGGAGGGCGAGTCAGTGGCATGGCAGTTAAGATGCCTGGATCCCAAATGGCTGACTGTACACTTCAAATCCTGGACCTGGCAGTTTAAAAACACACCAGGCATGTGTACATACACCAAAACCCTGAGAAGAGGGATGAATGGAGGAGAAAGGATTGCGACCATCCCCTGTGGGAGTGCTTTCTCTCGCTCTCTCTCTCGCTCTCTCTGGAGAGTATGTATCTTCAGGCAATGTTATTTAAGGATTATTTTATCTAGCTATCTGTTTATTTATTTATTTTAATTTGACCAGAGTAAGAGAGAGAGAGAGAGGGAAAGTGAGAAAGCCACCTCCTGGTCTGGGACTCGAACCATGTCAGTCACATGGGAGTTCAGTGCCCTTAACCACCATGTCTCCTTATTTTCCAGTTTGACCAGACAGAGAGAGAAAGAGAGGGAAGGAAAGTGAGAAAGCAAGCCACCAGGCCCAAGACTCGAACTGTGGTTGGCCATGTGGGAGTCCAGCACCTCTAACCACCACACCACCTTCTGGTCGTAGTTTGTTGTCTGTCTGTCTGTATTTATTTATTTACATTAGACCAGAAAGGAACAGAGCAAGAGAGAGAGAGGGAAAGTGACAGAGCAAGCCACCAAGAGCGGGACTTGAACCACGGTCAGCCATGTGGGAGTCCAGCACCCTTAACCACCATACCACGTGCCAGTTGTACCTTCTGGCAAATTTTTTTTTCTGGCAAATTTTTTAAAATTGTCATAGTGTGTGTGCTTGCCAGAGAGAAAGGAAAAGAAAGCACCCACAATGAGGCATAATCAAGCCATGACTCCTTCTTTAGTTTCCCCACCCTGACCAGATTTTGGCACACTGGCATATACGCCCATTGTTTTAAAAGTTCCCAGGACTGAGAGTCAAACCATGGTCAGTCATGTGGAATATGGCTCCCTTAACCACTAGGCTATAGAGCTAGCTAGCAGGAAACCTATTTTTTAAAATTCTCTTAACATATCCACTAGAGGATGCTAAGTTTAATTTTTAAATGATTTATGTGTCAATCACTGAAAGTTATGACTCGGGCCAGCTGTGGCATGGTGGTTAAGGCCACTTAATTCCACATGGTCAGCTGAGTGGTTTAAGTTCCAGATCCAACAGCTTGAAAAATACACTGAGTGTGTGAGCATGCCCAAAACCCCCAAAAGGAGAAACAGAGAAGGGACTGGCCTATCCCCACTTCCTCACCCCCGAGCATAGTTGGGCTAGCCCTTCATGGACGTGTAAGAGAACAGAGAGGTAATTTAGACCTAAGTTACCTAACCAAACAGTAATTTCTATCTTTGAGTAATATATTTTTTTTTGAGAGATTTTTGCTATAGGGCACGTGCGCTCGCCAGAAATACAGACAGAGACAGAGAAGTAGAAAGCGAGAAATCCCCCCCCAGGGGGGATGGCCACGCCGCAATCCCTTCTCCTCCATTCTCCTCTCGGGATCTTGGGCACGCACGCACACGCGCCTGGCGTGAGTTTTAATCCACCGGGTATGGGACGCGAACCGTGATCAACTACATGGGAGTCCAGAGACATAGCCATTACACTAACTGCTGGTCCCAAGATTTGCATGCTCAAAATTTTAAAAGGAAGGAGATAATGGAGAAAATGAGGTTGGGAAATAACCATTCCCCATGGATGGGGGAGTGTGCCTTCTCACTCTGTCTCTCTGTCTCTTTCCAGCATGTGTACATGTCCTCTAGCAAATTAAAAAAAAAATTAGGCTGGCCCCATGGCAGCGGTTAAGGGAGCCAGATCTCACATGACCAATCAAAGTTCAAATTCTGGGCTCTACGCCAGGTGTGTGTGTGGTGTGTGTGAGTGTGTGTGTATGCATGCCCAAATACTGACAGGATATGGAGGAGAAGGATTGCAGCATGACCATGATCACTGGGGGTGCTTTCTGCCCCTCACTTCCCTCTCTAGTGAACATGTGCCCTTTGGCAATAAGAAAAAAAAAAAGAAAGAAAAGAAAACAAACTATTTGTAGAATGAAAGTAAAAATTTCTTTCAGCTTAGAAACATTAAAAAGTTGAGGGATTTTTTTTTTGGCAAAAAAAAAAAAATTGTAGGAGGTTTCTGCCATAAGGTGCATATGCTTGCTGGAGAGAGATGGACGGACACAATGAGAGGGAAAGTGAGAAATCACCCCCCAGTGGGGATAGCCATGCCGCAATCCCATCTCCTCCACTTTCCTCCCAGGATCTTGGGTGCACACATACATGCATCCAGCATGATGTTTTTTGTTTTTGTTTTTTTGGGTTTTTTTAGAGCTTTTTTGCTACAGGGTGCATGCGCTTGCCAGAAAGATAAAGAGACAAAAGTAAGAAATCACTCCCCAGTGGGGATGGCCATGCCACAATCCTCCATTTTCTTCTTGGGATCTTGGGCATGCACACACACGTGTCTAGCGTGAGTTTAAGCCACCAAATCCAGAACTCGAACCGCAGTCGGCTACATGGGAGTCCAGAGACATAGCCATTACACAAATGCTGGTACCCCCAGCATGATTTTTAAGCTACCAGGCTCAGAACTTAAATCACGGTCAGCCATGTGGGAGTCCAGTGACATAACCACTATACCATCTCCTGGCCCCCAAATAAAAATTTTTATAAATATACCAAAGAAATATTTCATAAATGATAGTTTTATTTTGAGAAAGAGAATAGACGTTTTATAATTAGAGAAAATTAGAAATTATTTCTAGGGGGACCAGCAGTTAGCGTAATGGCTATGTTACTGGACTCCCACATAGTCGACCGTGGTTCGAGTCCTGGACCTGGTGGCTTAAACTCACACCAGGCGCATGTGCTTGCGTGCCCAAGATCCTGAGAGGAGAATGGAGGAGAAAGGATTGCGGCATGGCCATCCTCCCTAGGGGGTGATTTCTTGCTTTCTGTCTCTCCGTCTCTCTCTGTCTGTCTGGCGAGCGCACGCACCCTATAGCAAAAAACCTCTAAAAAAAAAATTATTTCTAGGAAAAGAATATGAATCCTTCTCTTTTCTAGGGAAAAAAAAAAAACTATTTTCTTTTGCTTTCTACATAAATTCTTCTCTCTGTCAGAAAATGAGTAGGGGGCCAGTAGATAACATGCCAGTTTTGTCGCTGGACTCCCACATGGCCAATCACAGTTCAGTCCTGGACCTGGTGGCTTGAAAATCACACTGGGTACACGTCCATGTGTGCCCAAGAACCTGGGAGGAGAACAAAGGAGAAGGGATTGCGGCATGATATCCACCCTGGGAGGTGATTTCTCACTTTCCTTACTGTTTCTGTCTCTGTCTAGTGAGTGCGCATGCCCTAAACTCTGGATATTTTGTGTAATAGAAAACTGACTTTGTTTAAAGAGCCTATATAATTATTTTTAAGAATCTTATTTATATTTTCCTAGCAGAACACCTTATATAGTAGATGTACAAAAACTTAAAAGTGTTGCTCCTACTTCAGCTGAAAGATGCTGACATTTCTTTTAAGATTTATTCAACTTCATTCATTTATTATTATTATTTCTTTAATTTGACCAGAGAGAGACAGAGAAAAAGAGAAAGGGAAAGTGAGAAAGCAAGCTACCGACTCAAACCATGGTCAACCTTGTGGGAGTCCAGTGCCTGAACCACCACGCCACTTGTTGGCCCCTAGCGTTTCATTTAATATCTTTCCTCAGACAATATTTTGTAATCCTTCTTGTACCCCCCTAATTGAAATTCAATGATGGTGGTGCCTGACAGAATTGTCAACTAGGCCTTTTCTTCATTTCATCAAAGTACCATTCATCGAAAGCATTGCTCCTATGGGTATGCACTCACATCCTAGACTTAGAGAGTTTTCCTTCTTTATTCATGATAGAGTGCATGCACACGCATGTGAGAGTGAATGAGAGAGACAGGGAGAGAGAGATGAGCACCGTCCACAGGGTCTGGTCACGCCGACTCCAGCCCTGCAGCCCTCCAGCCCACTGAGTCTGGGGCACTCGCATGCCTGCCTGGCACGTTTTCAGACCGAGCAGGCTGGGGGTTCTAACCATGACAGTCGCAAGGCATCGGCGTCTCTAGAACAGCACGTTACTGCTGCACCACAGGGCTGCCCGAAGGTCACAGTGTAAGGGCTGATAAAACCCACATCCAGAAGCACACATAATGGGACAATAACTGATCAGCACATCTAGTTCTGGAGCTGACTGACTGATGTTAACATGAGATTATGGAATCTGCCATCTTGTCATCTAAATAAAGTGAAAAACAATGGCAATAGTAGAAGCTTGAGAAATCCTTGGGAAAGAGAAATAAAAATTCAGGAGCTTCATTTGGAATGAAGGGTCCTCAACTGATCCTTCCAGCAAGTATCAAGTTACTTACGGGGAAGGAGAATGACAAATCTGGGATCATTTCATTCATTTGTGACAAGCAGTACAACAGTCCTATCGAGAAGGCAAGAACAACCAAAAGGAAGGAATGACAGAAAAAAAAATGATCTTTTCAATTTTCATAATCTGGTCTACAACTTCAGTGCCTCTCTCTAGCACCCCAAATGGGAAGCTGAGATACTTCTTCTGGAAGAAAGTCAGCCCTACTCCCAAGGTTGCTGGAAATTTAACTCAGTCAGGTCTCCTTCCTCCTTTTCCGAATGTCCTTCTATAAACATGTTTTCGTATCATCAAGTCCAGGCTGCTGGAGAGGCAGGGGATGACCCAGCGCGGTACTTACGCTCACACTGGATGACATCGAGGTTGAACTGCTGAACGGCTCCCATGCTTATCTGCTTTAACTCACTGTCCAGCAGCATCTGCATCAAGGACAAGGACAGATGCTGGCAGGCTGACATACAAGCCGTCTGGGCAACTTTCCCCTGTTAAAAACAACCAGACAAAACCAGATTAAGCAAACATGGGCATGTATCGTAATGATCAAAACATAATTTTCCTGGCATTTTTTGTGTTCACTATAAAGTGATTATTGGCCTGCTTCTTTAAAGGGTATACGTTTATATCATAGGAATGAAAAGTAATAGGCTTATTAGTTCATTTATCTTTCTTGGGGCATACATTTTATTAAAGCTCTAATTATATAAGGAAAACTAAAATACAAGTTAAAAACTAAGATTACTATTAGACTATGATTATTATTCCTGATCTCTTAAAATGGCTCAAGGATTTTTTAAAACATTCATTGAAAATATGACATTTATGACATAAAATAACTTACTGACAGAATATTTTATCCAAATATTTCTCATTAAGTTCACCTTTTTATAATTAAGAATAAAGGAAGTTAATAGTGTAATTCATTATTATTACTATCTAAACTGCATCTAAAATTCAAAATATACTTTGATCCACAAGACCTTGCTTCTAACAGAACATTAGCCTGCAGCATAGCTTCAATGACTGTCAATATGACTTCAAAATAATTTATTCTGCATTCGGTTATAGAAATTAAGTTTTGGGACCAGCAGTTAGCGTAATGGCTATGTTGCTGGACTCTCATGTAGTTGACCGCGGTTCAAGTCCTGGATCGGGTGGCTTAAACTTACACCAGGCGTGTGTGCGTGTGTGTCCAAGATCCTGAGAGGAGAATGGAAGAGAAGGGATTGCAGCGTGGCCACCCCCCCCGGGGGGGGGGTGATTTCTCGCTTTCTGTCTCTCTCTGTCTTTCTGGCAAGTACACACACCCTATAGCAAAAACCTCTCCAAAAAAAAAAGAAAAAGAAAGAAAAAGAAATCAAGTTTTAAAATCATCTGGTAATTTAGAAATAGATAGTTACATAAGCTACAGATCTGTGGTTTTCTTTCACCATCATCATAAAATATTTTCTACTATTATGACAGGCTTCTAAAATTACATGAACTTTCATTGATAGCTTTAATTGAACTGTTTTCTTAAAAAAAAATGACCATTTAAAATATATAGCCCCTAAATTACACGGCTGAATCCCAACACTACATCACTTTTAGTGTGAATTGTTTCTTGAAATACACTTTGCAGTTCAACTGGAAGTTGAAAACGAAGTATCATCGAGATTCTTTCGGGGCAGCTTCTTAGTGTATCTGTTCCTAGAAGGGGTACCTTTTCCCAGCCATCATGGAATTTGGTGAGGGACTGACTCCTGGGATAAATTTAATCTTCTATGAACATGGCTGGGAATAACGACTTCTGAGAGACTGCCATGTCTGCCTCACTTCTGTTAACAATTATTCACCCAGTGATGTTCGATGATTATATTTCTTCTTACTCGTCGCAAAGGCCAATAAAGCTATTAAATCATTTTAAAAAATCACCCAAATACAAGTGCTATGATATATTGATACGCAAACCTTAGGTTAAATTGTTAGAGATGTAGTAAAGACCATAAATATATTTTTGAGACATTTGTTCTTTTAATCACACATTAAAAGTCAGACTAAAAACAACTTTTATGAGTGTGTTAGCATTTAGACGCCAGGCACAGTGAAAACTGCATATCCAAAATGGAATGTCAATTTCTCAATCAAAAACTTTAGAGATAAAAGCCGATGCAAACAATATATTTGACAGATACTGATGAACTGCCAAAAAGGAATGTGACAAACAATGCAAAACCCAGCATGCTTCTGAGGTGCCCCAAACCCAAGAGGAATTAGTCTGGGAGACAGGCTGCTTCAGTCCCCAAGCAGAATAGTACCAGTATGAATGGGGGAGGGGGAGCAGGAAAAGGAGAAATAAATGGCATGTCATTTAATTACAATCTAATAGGCTTAAGAATACTTCATGGAAATGTCATTTTGACCTAATGGAACAACTAGTACGCTTTATTTAATGTCTTTCGTCAAAACAGCTCTGTGTCCAATTTATGTTACCTCTGTAACGTCCTAACTGCAAAAGCAATCAATAAACAGCAAAAGGAAACTACTACAAAGTTCATTTCATAAACACACACACTGCACAGTGTAAGTAGTACTGCTTCAAGGAAACCCTGACAATTTATCACGGGTCCAGACAGTGTAAATGACTATACAGCAATAGCACTGGGGCTGAAAACGAAGGGAGGGTGCAGATACTCACAAGTCCATAAACCTGGAGAAAACTGGAAATGAAACGACACACGTGGGACTAGCACTTCAACAATGAAATCCTAATATCAATTTCTTTTGATTATGCATACTAAACACAGGCTTATCGTTCTCAGACATAAGTTTAAAATACTTTGAGTCTCCAAATAAAATAAATTCTTCCTCGTTATAGCTCAAAAATTAAGTGAATCGTATCAAAGGCTCAGATTCTTTAAATTTTAAAAGTTATATTTTGTAAGATTAGACTTTATTTTTTAAAAGTAATTTCTAACTACAAAATGTTTACAAATATTTTTAAACTTCACCTACTCACAAAAATTTGCACACTCCAAAATGTCCCGAGTAATTTATTTCTTTTTTTAAAAGAATTATTTTATTTAACTTTCTCTTTTTTTTCTCTCTCTCTCTCTTTCCATTCCTCTCTCTCTCTTTCTTTCTTTAAATTTTACCAGAGAGGGACAGAGCGAGAGAGGGAAAGTGAGAAAGCAAGCTGCCAGGTCTGGGACTTGAACCATAGTCATTCATGTGGAGGAGTCCAGTGCCCTTAACCACCACACCACCTGCTGGCCCCTGGTACAATTTATTTGTAATGCCTTATAGTCCTTGGCACACTTCGGTGTAACTGGATGGCCGCTCTTTATGAACACTATTACTATAATTTCATTAGTGCTTTCAATAATATCATTTTCTAGAATAAAAACAATTAAGTATTTCTAATTATCTTTAAAAACTAGCCCTTTTCTAGAAATGCCCTCTGGTTTTAAACATCATAACAAACTATCAATAGTATGGTTGTCTAGAATTCGTAAAGGTTAAAGGTTTATGGAATGGGCATTCTTTACTTTTGATGAAACTATCCATTTGTAAAGCCTTCCAAAAGTTTTGGAAATGAATAAACCCTTCAGAATGTCATTACAAAAAAATAATACACGAAGTCCAAATAATTAAGTGAGGTGATGGAGAAAACAGTACATTTAACACATTTCCAGTATCTAAAAATTCCTCCACCCTCATCTGAAAAATTAATTGCAACTATTATTAACATTTTCTTTCCCATTAACAAAGTTAAACAAATAAGTAAAAATACCTGCTAAACTTTTAAAGGTAACTACTTTTTTTTTTACCCCATGCTAACATTTTGCTGAAAAACAACTTGCAAAAAGAGAAAACCCTTAGACAAACTTCTTATATTTCAAAGGAACTTGGAAAAGAGAATCTGCTGACATATTAGATCCTTTTTGCATTACCCCAAAGCTTTTCTTCTAAGAACAATTGTGGCAAAGAGACATTTGGCTCCTAGGAAACTCCCAAAGGGTCAGCCATATGCATCCTTCCATGGCACCTTCACAGTGCTGCTTTCTAGATTCATGTCTCAAAAGCAGCTTTCATCATTTACTTGTGTGTCAGTCAATATGATTTATGGACTGCATTCAACAAAGTCAGAGCATATAGAATGAGAAATATGACTACAATCTGCTAATTTGTTTTGTATTGAGCCACTTAAGAGTCAAAGACCTGATGTCAGACTGAGACCCGCAACACAATTAACCAGCCGGTGACAGATCCATCCATCCTCCCTGCCAGGCTGTGCCAATCAAAGACAGCATGAGGCGACATTCGGTGAAATCAGTAAGAAAACTCATTCTCCAAGTAACCTAGGGGAGACCCTGATTGACACTCTCTGAATTTAGCTTGTGGAACGCGGCCTCTCTTTACCCAACAGCCCCTCGCTGCAAGCTGTGAGACAAGGCTTTTAGTGCCAATCACAGGAGCAACAAACCACACACCACCAGCCCTTGGCTTAAAAAGGAACCAAGAAAATGTATCTGTTTGTATGTCAAGCCAAATTTCCAAAATAATTTACTATTATCGATTAGACTAAAGATAAGTTTCCTTTGAAATATGATAAAATAACATGGCAACGAAAATACAACAGGTTTTATTACACTATGGCTCCAAACTGTTTTGGTTTCAAAGTAACGTTTTCATAGATCTACTTTAATATAATAGTGGGGAAAATATAGAATATTTAAAACTAATTTGGCATATGGAAATTTTCAATTGAAGTTTTCGTTTCTGTCTCTCCATTCTCTGATTTCAAAGACCTAATAATAAAACAAAGGTTTGATTTCAACAATAATTATTTAAAAGCATTTCTCAGTGCTGCTTTCATCCTCTCAAGTATATTTAATAAAAATAAAGTGCACTTGAAATCATAACTATTCTTTCCATATTGGTCTACCTTTCCTTAAAGATCCCTGGAGAGTCCATTTTCCTTGGTTTATATTCCCACAAAAGGTTAACTTTGCACAATAAACTACTTTTTTACTTAAGTAAAGAGGCATATATAGACTACAAAATGTTGTGCATTGTATTACTCTTTAAATTAATAACAGGTGTGCTTTAAAAAGTGATGTAATCATTATCAGAAAAAAAATAAGGAAAACTGAAATTATATAATGATTAGTCACTCTGAACATTAAACCAGACACTGGCGTGTTAACTTATTAACTGTGATTCTGTATGGCATTTTAAAGTTATTTAAATTAAAGCAGTCAAATATTGCTATTTTTATACAAACTCCCTGCCTCGCAGTTTGCCACGTACTTTCAGTGATGATTCTGTGAGACAGTCCTTTCAGAGGCAAAAGAGGAAGACAAACACTGATGAGCCAGTCTCCTAAAGAGTTACAATTTACAGTCTTTTAATATACACAGATTGAAGTAACAAGGTCTTTCATCGAATGTGCAGTAAACAATAAAATCTGAAATAAAACACATTTAATTGAAATGCATAAAAA